AACAAAAAAATAACAGTAGTAAATGACACCAAGACGGAATGATAACCCGTCCTTCCTACAACATAACAGTACTACTTCAGGAAAAAAATGCTCTCGCAAAAAAGTCACCATTGAAAAGACCTGACCATATTTCATAGCCCCAGTTTATCCTTAACAACTGAAATTATTAATAAGTCACCAATTAATCAGTTCTTAGAAATAGAGATCATTTATTCATATGAATCGAAGGGTTTCACCATATAATTCGATATGAATGTGAGCCATGACACGGAGCACACTGAACGAGTCAATACGACCCCTTGCGCCACTAGCAGGCAAATATAAAGCCCCGTCATAGAAAATACTACTCAACTAACACCCCAGCACCTTTGTTCAGCATTGTTGAAAACAATTAAACGACCGCTAACCTGCCGGCAGTAAACAAATAAAGCGTTTTATCCAAATCGAAATCCAAATGACCATGAAAATGTCCACGAATGAAATTGTGAATTTTCTCTTTGGCCATTGAGTGCAAATTCTGAATTCGGAGATAAATTAAATGAATTACAGTCTTATTGAAGCGCAAAGTGTCTATTCACCTGGAACTCATGTAAAGCGGAAAACTTGACGACATTAAGGCCGTTAGGAGTTAAAATATCAGGCTTTCTATCCAATAGATATTCGGCTTCTAGTCCAGTGATTTCCTGACACGGTTGTGAAGATGTGAGCAGAATGACATGCAGCTCGTTCAAGGCAGTACTGATGGTAGATCTTCAAACAAACACTATCATCAAGAACGAGTGATTTGGGAAGGCTGAAGCAGACCTTATTCAGAGGTGTCAAAGCGGGGGTTCGAAGGAAGCGTCATAAAAGCGGGCTCGAAAATGGGTTAAGCGCTGCGATATGGATTTTAATGACTTGTTTCTGGTTTGAGAACGTTTCGGCACTGCTAAACGTCTTGAGCTCACAATTAGACCAGGGTAAACTATTGTTGAAGCTTTACTAGCGATGTAGTCGTACTTGTGATTCTGGAATAGGGTCGTGTCTGAGCTCTTAGGAACGCGTCATAGTAATGAAAGGAAGAAGAGTTGAAGTCGAAAAGGGGACCGTTCTAAAAATGCGACCCTACTCCAGAAGGGGGCAGGAATGGTTCCATGTTCACTAAAAACTGCATAAAACGGGTGATAAAGTGAAGAATTTGCTGTTCATATCAAGGACGCCGTGCTAGAATTCTGTACATGATGGCTGATCGTACCCTCCCCTTCAAAAAGCGAGAAAGTGTCGGGTGCAGACCATGCACCACAAGTGACGACGGCCTTCACAAAATGTTAATGTTTTCTGCCAATGAAATGATTAGCCTGTTGCAGTTGTATTCTATCGTTGTCACTAATTACAACTATCATTTACCAGAAATCAGCTATCACTATGAACAACTTCTAACCAGATTTACTTGGAGGCCGTCGTCAGTTGTGGTGTTTGGTCTGCACCCGACACTTTCTCGCTTTTTGAAGGGGAGGTTAGTCCATTAGCCCTTCTGCACACTGAGTTCAGGTCCATAGAAAGTGAGGGATTTTGGCAGCTCTCACCCATTCAAGAAGCTAAGAATGAATTCATCTGTGGGAGATGCTTCTGAATATCTATTTTCCTTTTCTTGTAGAAGGTGGTAACAGTACGGGCAGGTGAGTGGGAAGGAAAAGCGCTCCCGGGAAATAGCATGCGACAAAGGTATAACTGATCTTCGCTCTTAGACAGTACACCAAGCCGCAATTACCCTCTTCTTAATCTGGGATGACAAAAACTACACACAAGGTTAGTAACCGAAAAACTTGCTTTTCGTTTTCCAGCCTCCTCATCTAGATTGAACGTGCCAAGAGCGTTGTAGAAATCACATCCGCCAGCGCAAAGATGCCTACCCAGAAGGGTTGCATGCGTTGTGTACACCGTAGCGATGTCCAGCTTCCAAAGTCGAGCCATAAGCAGTCCGACACCTACAAATTCATTCTCATTTACGAACCTTATTTCAGAAAAAAAATGCAACAGCAATAGAAAACAGATAAAAGGCACAAGAAAAAACGAACCCGCTTGCCATTCATGGAAATGGGCCTACCACTAAGGGTTGATAATCAGTAATAGCTTCTCTAAAATGTTTCAGAAAGACTGCTACTAGGAATCCAAAAATCACGGCATCATTTGACTCAATGTCCTCGTGTGGAATACCAATTCGGCACCTGCAATCGTTGTACTACTCATATTGAGCGGGGTGTCTTCTGGTCACCACAAAATAGGGTCAGCGATTAAGAACGCGTAAAATCAATATCCATTGTTAAGCGTATAGCCTTCTTCAACGGGGGAAACAATGTAAGGTGTTCCCACCTATCGAACAACTCCTGCTTCCACTCATTCATCTTCAAGGCACCCGATCCCAGATCAAACAGGATCACCTTTGGGTAGCCATCAATCAGCCAACGACCATACATGCACTGCAAAACCAGCAGAAATAAAAAAAAGATGTATTTAAAAGGTGAAAAATTTGAAAACGGGGTAATGATACATAAATAGTCGACAAAAAACACCTTGAACCCGGATTCGTGCAGCTTTTTGATGGCAGCTCTGATGGTTCTGGAATAAGAAGTTCGATAAGGGCTTCCATAAATCGGGTTTCAGAGCGATACTTCAAGAACGAACCTATTTTCTGGTTCAATTTTCTCTACTTCCAATCGCCACTTATCATTTTTCATAGGGCCAAACATACAATATTGATCTCCTGAAAGAAGTCTCCGATTAATCAAGCGGTGTCCGGAAGGGGCCAAAAAAATGATAACTATCCCACCTAATTCCTCGCAACTGATTTGAGCTTTACTCCTCAGCACGGTGTAAATGCCACCTATCTGAAATGGCAAAACTGATGTCTGATAAAGTAAGCGACATCAGCTGATGGACAAGAAGGAAAAATAACAAAACATATATTCGGGGAATCCCTTTGCCTCCGTCCGATTTGCTCATTGGGTTCAAGAAGCAAATTATGTAAGGGAACGTGCATCTTGTGTTGCATCCTTTTATAAATGAACTGATTACTGGTAGAGCCCACGGGTGTGCATTTGTTTGAGGTGTGGCATCTTGTGCACGCTATTAGTCCGAAACTTCGAATTTAAAGGCACAGGTCCTGTCGAATCAGTCTATTATTTTGTTTCTATTATTTTGTTGAAAATTTGATAAGAATTACAGTGAGGAAAGTCAATGAGGAAAAATGCAAAAAGCGGCATAGAATACATTGACTTCTCTTTCTATGCTGCCTTGGTATGAAAGAGACCCAACTCTGGAGAGGGGAAATGCGAAATAGTGTGGAGTACGCGAGAGGGTACAGACGCACGTATGCCGTGATTGATAAGGATGGCAGCGCGGCAGTACACAAGGCAAGGATTTAGCGCTTGAGTCGTGACTGTCGCGCCTCTTCCGCTTGGGAACCCCTCTTTTCCACTCTAGGAGGAACTACATCTTGGCACCTAGTCCTAACCGGTGGCCAAGGTGGCAGGCTGGATTGAGGGTAAACTATCTAGGTAGTGGGGTGGCAGTAAGGAGCCGACTGACGACTGGATCGGAAAATCATCTAGGGTAACGCGCACGTTGTTGCGCATCCTTCTGCAAATTCACCGAGCGATTAGCAAAGCCTATTCCTGAAATTCTCGCGGTCGGCCCCCTCTGCGATGGCAAGACTCTCTTGCTCACAGAAACAATATTTGCGATTCTAATTCAATTAAGGTATTAGTCCATTGGACGACATTGGCTCAAGATAGAACATCGTGGAAAAGAAGTTGGGACCCGCGCAAGAACAATCGCTGATAACGGGTCGCCAAGTAATCCAAGTAAAGTAAGTATTCTTGAAAGGTATAAACACATGCACCCAGCATTACGTTTTTCCCGTACTCTTTCGGAAAAAATATTTCCTAAAACTTGAGTGCATGGCTTACTCCAAAGGATCCACAAAGGCCATGCCTTATGTCAGCGATTCACCACCTCCTCAGAAATGATCGTTTTCTATAGGAGGGTCTTTTCCACAGATAATAAGTTCCTTTTGAGGCGTTAAATCGAATTGAAAAGGATGCAAAGTAAATAAGTTGCGTATTTTTCGAACTAGCTTTAGAAGGTACGAAAATTAACTTGCGAAGAACTCTGTTCAGCCTGGTAAGCAATTCGCAGTAACACTGGCTATAACTAGATACTATTGAAAATCTACTCATGAACACGACGGTTACTTATTGGCGACCTCCTATGCACTTCATCGACACGAATTCACCTTCGTCTCGTCAGTAATACTCCATCAATGGTAGTACTTCTCGGTCCCTCAATTCTTCACCAGCCAACGCTCTGGCCACTTTGGAATACGAAAGATTTCTCGGCATGACACCATGTCCTGCCATGGTGGCTTCTGAATATTTATGTTGAATTTGGGTGCACTAACGCACGTAGGAAAAGTGTAGCACGTGTACTTGTGGCCACAGCTGACGTTTAGTTTATGACATCATTTGAGGTAGAGACAGTTTTATGACGTCATTTATGGGAAAACATGCTAATTGTTATTGCCATAGTTTATGTACATAGGACAGAAACCCCGAAACTATGAAGTAGAAAAGAAGAATGACAGGCGAAGGCAACGTCAAAAACGAGAAAACGAAGAGAGCGGAGCGAGAACGAAAGGGAAAAGAAAAAGAAAGATAAGAACGGATCACATGACAACAACGACCATCATCTCGGAGATAGTAAACACCACGAAAACAACGCTCGATTAGTGTTCTTTGAACGACCGCACCAAAATAATCCCGCAACAACATTGATAAATAATCAATCTACTACTGAAATTGATCGATTGATAAGAGTTCGATGATTGATTCTTCTTTCTTTTACTGCAATTTGTTGTCGTGGTGGTTGTGTTTGGCAATCCGTTACGTTTTGAAGTCAACTACTTGAACATTCAATTATTCTTTTTTGAACTACACACGAGGTTGGTATCCAGAACTTTTATTGGTCCAAAACACAAATGCTTCCACGAAAAACTTTGGGCACTTTGGATTCATGTCAGGAATCCAAAAATAAACCGAACCGAAAAATGCTTATGAATAACAGGGGAAGATACCTGAGTTGGATTCCAGCATTACTAACCAGCTCTGAATATGAGTGCTTATCGAAGGGTTGTCCGAATACTTTTGAATCACTGTTGGCTTACCTAGGTTCTGATAGAGTAGAAAACTCAAAAATTCCGTGGCGGTTGTGTGATGGTTACGTTGACCCTGGGACTCGAGAAGGTACGTGAGATATTTGGTCGTGTATCAACGAATCAACTGCCCCCTTAAGGCTTCGAAGAAGGTGACTGGAAGGTTAACCAAAAAAGGGGTAGCTAACAACCTTGTGGTCGCTCAGAGGAATAATTAAACTGTGCTCTTTGCCGAAGATCATCGAGATCCAAACATGGCAATCCAGAAAAGTGTTGCAAGTCACAAATTCTTTCACGTGGTTGTAGTATTACATTCTGCAACTACACGAAGAACTAGCAGAGGGATAAAAAATTTGACTCGCATAGGAAAATTCATCTACGAGGGTTGTGATACTAACTTTCTACACCATGAAACTTTTATTATGTTGACATTGAGTCATTTGGAAACCACACATTTTTTTTCATCAAAGTTCTTGAAAATTTGGAATGGGAGTTAATGACTGTTTGGTTACAATTTTGACATCCATTTTTTCGCACGGCGCTTGCTGAAAATTCACCATGGAGAATGAGAGGAGTTACGGGATCAAACTTGCGCCAAATTTTCTTGACACCATAACTACACTGAATTTGGGAACAAGGAGGCCCTAAAATAGCACATAATCACCTTGTCAAAGATAAATGCCATCCTGGTAATCTGGTCCGTCAATATCACTTATGATAGGAGAAGCTTTGTTGAAAATATTTCTTCTGTCCCGATTCACCGTACTGGGATTGTAACAGTAGCGCAGTACACCTAATTATTATGCTTGAATTCTCAGAAACATCCTCCTCCCGTCTTGTCCAGAACTCCTTGGGCTCATATTCGTTCTCTGAAGAAAGCCATAACTGGCCAAAACTCTGAAAATGGGGAGTCTTTAAAGTCATATTGCAGACCTCATTTTTGCGAAGGACGGCCGCGCTAGTAGGGCAATAGTTCTTTGTTATGCACCGTTATAACGTGGTAGATGCAATGTGCACTATGTTCCTCGTGCCCATATATGTCTCAAACGCAGACTATATAGCACAGCCTTGAAATCAGACAATCGGTAGCATGGAAAGCCATAAAGTTATCGATTTTTTTCGAGGCCATTACTACACCTTAACTACTCAGAGCAGAATCACAGTAGCGCACGGAGCGATGGCGTCCAAAATATGGATATTACAAATGCTTCCAATGCTATGAATTATCTAACGTTATATTTGTGTTGCCAATGATAAGCACACTTGGTTGTAGGAGTCAAATTGCAGTTTTTGCTTGTCAACAAATGTCAACAACATTTGAAAGAAATGAGATAGAAAACCATTGAGTTAAAATTTACCGCGAATATTGCCATCTTTTTATAAATATTTCACATAAAAATCATCATGAAATGTGACAAAATTAGACTCACATTTATGAACTTCACCAGCATCTATTTTAGGCAACACTGGATGAAACTCAGAGATAATTGTTGTTGAGAAATTTGTTTACTTCCATATTACATAAATAACAACTTTAATTTCAATTTGAGTAGCCACATGTTTTTCAAGCTTGCGTCGTCTAAGACTAGGAGTGAGAAGTTCAAGCTATTCTTTCACGCAAGTCTATCGGGAGGAATTTTTTCACTTTCACTGGCTGGAACGGAGTATGCAAGAATGAGTAGAATTATTCAAATACCAATTTTTTCCACTAAACTCAGGAAAGTTGTTTCTCATTATCTTCATTGTTTCTTGATTATTTTTATCTGCTACAATTAATTTACTTATTTCATCACTTGTTGTGTTCTGTTTACATTTCATTTAGCAGTAATAAATTGAAATTGAAATAAAGGGTAAAGATCATTTATCATTATACATAGCATAAGGATTAAGCCTTCGTTTGAGTTCATCTTCTTTTTGGGATGCGCCAGGCATTGTATGCGTTTTGGAACGGTAGTGAAGTAATTTCGGTGTAATTTTGTCGACATCACGAGTTCCTGACGACTCGAGGTACATATTGGTAATTTTTTTCCATTTTTTCTAGATAAGACTAGCGCCATCTAGACAAACTCGTAGAGAAAGAAGACCTGATTGGCCTAGGAGGAGTGCAATCCGGGATTGTGACCGACACTAACCATGTATGCCTAGTGTGCCAGATCGTTTGCCGCTGCACCACCCGCTCATGTCAGTTCAATAAAAAATAGATTTATTCATCAACTCACTTTTAGCTGACCCCCCAAGTAGGATTTCCCAGAAACTTCCATTGGGAGTAAAGAAACATGAAAAAAAATGAAAAACCACAGGAGCAAACCGATTCTCCTCGTGGGAGTGCGCGCTGCCACATGTGCATTAATGAAAAATTCCACAAAGGAAAACTCAAAGTTCGACCAAATTCCCGTCAGCAATTACGGGAATACATGGCAACGGGCAACATATCCTTCCTTTAAACCACAAAACTGCAATTACGTACAAAACAGGGACATTTCAGGCAGGGTCAAATTTCTGGGTCAGCATCCCTCTATTTGCCCCCACCCTCCTGAATTCCCTTTTTGGACCTACATACACAGCAAACTGGTTCACCTACTCCAGAAATATTTGGATCCTTGGAAGTATTTCCATTTCTCAAAGACAAGGAAGAGCGTATGGTAATAGCTCAAAATTTTCAAAAATCCTGTAACTTTTACGAAAAATTCCCTCATTTCACGAAAATTTTCTTCTCTACATCTTTTTAGAATTACACTCATCTTTTCACTGAATGACCACTCCACTCTTTGGTAACTGACCAGCGGTCTGAGTGACCCTCTCTCCAGGTTTGTATGGACACGCTAACCACGATTTCCATGCGTATCTTATCTAGGAGAGACTCCACTCTCCCTAGGTTAGGTCAACAGAGGGCTGGCGATGTCATTGAACGTCAGGTAGCGTAGTCAGACTTACATTTAGGCTCAGGCCTAAATCTACCATTCGCATCATGCTTCATTCCCCTCACTGCGCCTAGACTCAGTCCTGGGCCATTGTTCGAACAAATGAATGGTACCTCTATTTTAGGTGAGCCGATGTGAGAGGAGAACTTAAAACCTTATCTTGACCGCCCTCAGTTCATACCCTCTTACCTCATAGTTTAGCATCTAGCAGTGCGTTTTTCTCAGGAATTTTTTGTCCACAAGAATCGGGAACCTTTTATGCTGATATCATTAGCAAACATTCATAACACATCACAATACATTATAAAAGGGTTCATTAATACTGAGGGTTTGATCCGTAGCTTATGCGCTGTGTAACAATTGCGATTAGAAAAGATCCCTCCACGTAAGGATTTTTCCTTATTAGGTGCCTCTTCAAGCCGTTCGCCTTCTAACGAGAAATACAGAAGAACAAGAAGCAGTTGAAACACTTTTTCGGAAGCAAAGTGCCATCAGGTACTCGCTAACATATGGAATCTGCCGTTCATTTTACGCAAAAGCGAGCTGTAAGAAAGGAACGGCTGTTTCATAAGATTCTAAATATGTAGATAGGGCGATACCAAAACAAGCAAGTTTGGAACAGCAATTCAGGGAAACCAGAGATATACCTGCGATATGTGCTTACCTAGGCCGAGTAGTGAGAGCCTGAATGGATTTCTGGAATCTCATGGCAAAAAAAAAAAAGGTGAACGTTGAATTCTCCCTCAAATTTACAAGTTCGACTCGAATAATGCGACAATTCATTTACTTAGCTAAAAAGTCCTTGTTGCGTAGAATAGGAGAAAGAATAAGGAAGCATTTGCCGTTGATCAATCCCTTTTTGGGATGCGGCACGCATTCTACTTCCATTTGTACATTCGTAGTGGCGTTTGAATGCGATGTGGCCTATACAATGACTTGCGGGGGCCAGCCGATGTTCAAGTCAGTGTTTTTTATCCTCCCAGACAAGTCTGGTACCAATTAACCGACCCCGGAGGGATGGAAGGCTTGGTTGGCCCGGGCGACTCACGACCCAGGATTTGATCCCCGGACCGCTCGCGTGGTAAGCGTGCCACTTGCCACTACACCACTTCCGCCCCTTCAGAGAACACGAATAAAATTGCTATGTGATTAGTATACGGAGTACGCGACAAAAAGGCGCGACAGGCGAATGAAAATTAAACACAGAAACGAAGTACCCTTTATAACGCCTTCTCTTGAATGCGTCGTGAAATTTACTTCACTTAGTATTATCGACATGATTGATTGTGTGGTGGGATACAACGACTTTCAGACGTGTTCAGTTTCAGAGTTGTTATTGCAATAGATCCAAAGCAACCAAGGGCTAAGATGATCTAGGCTTGACTGGATTTTCAAGAATTTATAACAAAAGAGCACGCTATTCACTATCATCCTTAGTTTCCCGAATTCCTCCTACGAA